GGAGAAAAAAACATCATCTATGCAAAATCAGAGAAAATGTCACATCTAAAAATTTCTCTTGTTAGAGGAATTCACCAAATTTCATGGGAGAAGAAAGTAACGCATCAAGCAAAAACTACCCAACAGGCCTCCTGCTTAATATTTCGAGAGAAAGAAATTAATTATAATGAAATTATCATTTTATCAAAATTCAATTGTGCTACTTCTTCACACCAAATGAATGTGTTCAAAATCACAAAGAAACGAGCGAGTCAATTTTCAAGCCTGTTCGCTTTTATTTTGAGCTTTAAGAAAATTGTTCAAGCATGTTTTAAGAAACCATATAATTGTATCATTGTCTCCAAGCCTCGCATATTTTTAAGTCACATATAAACGAGCATCAACCTTAGTAATACTCAGAAGTTTGTTTCAAATCCCTTTCCATAAGCCATTGTCAATGCTAAAATAACATTTCCTAGCTTACTCGCTTTCAATGCTTGAAGGAGTTCACAAGGAAACAAAAAAAAGGCAAACAGAAACTCGAACAAGCAAACAGAACTCTTCGTGATTTGCACTTCCACTTGTAGAAACCCTTTTCCAAACCTCAATGCTGAAGGCAAATGGAGGCTACCCATGTTGCTCTGCTCTTCTCTGATGGAAGAAGCTGAGAACGTAGGATTCAAGCGGGGCAATGGATACGGAAACAACAAAAGACAACAAGAACGACTACAAAATACATATTAGTAGCAGCGGCTTCGAAGGACTCCACACCCGTCGCGTGGAAGATGAGCAACAGCGGAAGGAGGAGCGGGGGAGGCTTCGCGACAAGCAGGGAGCAGCGGCGGGTCGATTGACGAATGTCACGGGCGCCAAACAAAGCGAGGCACAGGAGGTATTAACGCTCGAGAACGCCGGGCCGGGGATTCTATTCCGCGGCCCGCGTTAAGAAAGCTCGACAAAAAATAAAGATGAAAAATTATAAACTTCGGCCCCGAACGAAATAAATTATGGTCCGGCAGCTTATAAGTGCGGGCGGATACCGTTTGGTTCGTATTTTTTGTCAGCTTATGTGAAATTGCGTTTGAGTTTTTATATTAAACGCAGGCTGCGGGCCGACCCCTGCGGCCGGCCCACGGGCCGCGTTTCAGGATAAGCAGCTTATCCTGAAACGCACAAGCTGCCCCAAACGAACCCTTAATATATTTTAGTTTTATAAAAAAATAAAAAATAAATTTTAAGTGAGATTTATTGAAATATATCATGATCGTAGATCACCTGATTTATGATCAGGATTGACTGTCCGTATGAAATAATTTTTCCCCAAACGAACCCTTATTTTCTCCACCATTTTTTCTATTGAATCCACATTAAGAAATAATTTCTAGCCAACATATATAATTTATTTTTATTGTTGATCAAATCTTATCATAAAATTCATTTGTCTGAGTGAAACTTTTGATATAATATTTGAGGAGTAAATTTTAAAAATTATATTTACAATATTTTTAAGAATTTTTATTTAAGTAGATTTTTAATTGAGTATAAAAACAATAAAAATATTCTAATCTTAGTTTAAATGAGCCTAAATCAAACATCAATAATATTCATTGCAATGAATATCGAAGCCCGAAAATCTTAGCCAGTAATGGAGGCTGATTTATATCAGTACCTCAAATATCATATAACGCCCCCATTGTAGCAGGGGTGATCATATAATTGTGCATATTGTACTCCTCTCTTGTAAATAGAGGGATCATTTATTCAGTAACGGCTGATAAAAAAATCATTCAACTATATGTTACCGTCCACTCTACACTCTCGCTCTTTCTCCCTTTTGTTTTATTATCCATTCCCTGGGTGTAACTCAGGAATAAATTCAAATTCAACATTTAGATTTATCAAATATGTAATAAGATTAAATTAAAAAAAATCAAGAATTAATTAAAAAAATTTCAAGAAATTAATTTAAAAAATTAGGGAAAATTACATATCTAGCACTTAATTCTTATGGAATATATCTATCTCACATCTAAACTTTTCTTTTACAAACATAATATTTTATTTTTGAAAAAAAAAATAAATTTGACAATTAAAATGTGATAATAAGTGCTAATTTTTATATGATATTTGTAATTATGAAAATGTATGCTTGTGATATGTTTGAAAGCCACAATGCTTATCACCTAAACCACCCAATTCTTATATATTTACATATCTACCATTCTTTAATTTTTACAAAATAAAACCCATTTATTTACTGATTTAAAAATAGAAGTTCAGGCATTAGTTACGTAAATATATAGGAATTGAGTGATAGCATGTGTGGTATAAATGTAAAAGATAAAATTTAACTGCTAGATATATAAATACTTAGAACTGAGCTGGTATATGTATAAATGTAAAAAAAATAAAAATCTCACATTTTGACTGCTCTCTTATGCAATAACAAAATAATATCACATGCCGTCTCTCTCTCTCTCTATATATATATATAACAACTAAAGTTTGCTTTTTTTATATTTAGACCACCCAAATTTTCATATTAGGATAAAATTACACTATTTTTAACTAATAAAAGTTGAAAAAAACTCGCATGCATAGGTATGATGGTGTTTTTGTAAAAAAATTGAAATTTATGTTTTAGAGATGTAAATACATAGGAATTGAGTGCTATGTATGTAAATCTTCCTTAATTAATTTATATGAAAAGATGAAGTGAAACGAGGACCTCTCGTTGTTGACTGCGAGGGGTCCTCGTTTGATCTCATTTCACTTCCGGTGGGTTTCTGCTGAAGCTCTTTTTCATGGCTTGCAGCCTATTTTGAAACCAACAGGAACAAAAAGTGGAGATCTCAGTTATGGATACTTTCTTTATCTATTCTCTTGTCTTCTTCCTTCCTCACTGCGTCTCTAAGGGTTGAAGAAGAAACAACTCAGTAAAAAACTTTCGTCTTCCTCTCTCTCTCGGATGTTTTATACTTTATTCATCGCCGCATCGACTAAATTGCATCGACCAAATTAACCACCATCTTTCATCCATTTTTCAAATTCTCACTCAAATATCAAAATACATGGTAAAATCCAAACTCTTGCATAACTACGACAGTTTTATTGCAAACACTATTATTACACAGTGGTAGAATGATTATTTATCCAGAAACATCTACAAATCAGTTGTTTTACGAACGCACAAATCAAACAACTTATCAGCTTATCTGAATCAGCTGCTGATCAGCAGCTTATCAGTATAAGTTGCAGCTAGCTATCCCAAAGAGAACCTAAATTTATAGTGCAGTGACATAGTAAGTTCACCACAACCACAAAAACTATGAGTATTATAATAGGAATTTTCATACATGTCACCCAATTTTTATCTATTTACATATCAAACAGTTGAAATTTACTTTTTTACATTTGTACCAAACAAATCTTTCACATTGCATAAGAAATATTAATACTTTAAATTTTTAAAAGTGAAATAAAATTTTTCATGCATAAATATGAAAAAATACCTGTAAAAATTGAAATTTAGTTGTTTGATATATAAATAAATTAAACTTAAGTGTTATATATGTAAATCTTCCAGATTATAATTAAATAAATCAAAATTAATTATAGACATCAAAATTAATAAAAAAATTTCCAGGATAAACATATGCTTCAGCAAAGGAATTAAGAAAATGTTAATCAGAAAATTCCAATCATGTGGGGGTCTTTTAATTATGGGTTATTGAAGAGGTTTCTTTGAAGGGTTGAGTTAATTATTAGAATATTGCCAAAACTAAATTCACTTTTAATTCCTTTAATTGTTTAATTTCCTGATCCGACCTTAAAACCTTTAGTTTCATTATCTCATTAGGACTTATTTAATTGCTAGCTTTTTTTTAATATTATTTACAAAAATAATATATATTTTTATTAGTTTTTTAACTATAAAAATATAAAAAGATCACTTCTAAAGGAGTTTTTAGAAGACTTATGAAACTTGAAATCAATATTGATACGCCACCACCAAATTTCCATCAAACGAATCTCAGTGCAATTTTTTGAACAAGAAATATTCAAACTTCGATTAAGAGTCATCCGGAGCTCTGATTTCCACAAAATTATAGTTAAATTGATCGGTTCGATGGGACGGACCTAATGATATAAAAGTTAGTCCAATCCGAGTCAAATCAGACTCGGATCATCAGACCAATCCGAGTCAAATCAGACTCGGATCAAGTCATTAAACCACTACTACAGGACTTTCGGAGGCATTTGAAAGGTCAAACGGATGTCGAATCTAGCGAGTTTATATTCGAATCGAGCGTTTTGAAAAGACAAATCCAACGAGCCCAAGATTGCTCAATTCTGACATCGTTAAGGCACTCAAATGTTCATCAAACGTCATCTGATCAAGGAAAGCTCTCTGGGCCGTCCCATCAAAATTGTTCATATTCCTGCATTAAGTGCACGCAAAACACTATAAATAGAGCCTCACCCCTCACATGAAAGGGGAGGAGGCTTAAGAGAGAACTTGAGGCTTTGAGAAGGAGCTCAAGTCCAATATCATTCTCGCCATCGTCGATCGCCGTCGACGACCACTGACCATCGACAATGACCGTCGACCACCGACGACCACCTTTGAACGCCGCCGATCACCGCTGACCTCTGTCAACTACCGCCGACCGTCATCGACTTGTTAGCCACCGCTCACCTCCGTCAACCACCGGTTACTAGACATCATCAGTCGACGTTGTAACGTGGAAAACTAGTAACCCTTTTCCAGCCTGTGGGACAAGGGATATCTGTAATCATCAACTTATAGTGAATTTTTACAACTGGGTCAACCCCGTGGTTTTTCCCTTTTTACGGGTTTTTCACGTAAAAACTTCTGGTGTTATTATAGCTTTATTCATTTTCATCTGAGTGTGTGCTGAATTCTCGTGCAACGCTAAGACGGTAATTTATTACTCTACCGCCGTGAATTTTCTAGCACGCATCAAATATTAATGTTAGACTATGTACAGGCAAATCATTAACACACGTAACACTTAATGTTTCGTCATTAATCACTAGCTGAAACATTATGTTTCATGCATTTATTTTCAACAGAAATCACAGAAGATCGCATCATCTGCAATAAATAGATATCATATGATTCATAGAACAGAACATAATCAAAACAGAGTTGACTAACTCTAGTTTAGTTAACAACCATCTGATACCCGCCACCACCTTCCTTCCTCCTCCTGTATATTGCAGCAGCAACAACAGCCATTAATCCTCCTGCAAGCAAAAGCACCCACCACTGCTCCACAAGATGCGCAAAACCTATAGCGCACAAACAATTATAAGTATTCTCTTATCTAGCTATAAACATACTAATTATAGATTTAATTTGTAAAAACATTAGCTAATTTGTAAAACATACGTGGTACGACAAGTTCTTGTGAAAAGAAAGAAGTGTGCTTCGGCTGAGGCTCAGCGAGAAAAATATGGAAGAGTCCCATAACTCCAGTGCGCATTCTTAAGCTGCTGTAATTGAAAACCAGCGTTAGAAGCTCTCCATCTCTGATATTCACAGAGCCAGGTTTAGGGTAGCAGGTTGACATTGTTGACATTCCTACAATGTAGCAATGTAGCCAGCCTCATCTCCTGCTTCTTCTCCCTCGCCATATATGGGATTGGAAGAGCATAGGTGTCTTCCATCCTGTATTTATGCATGCAAATTAAAATATGTCAATATCTCTTTAAATGAATGAAAACAAATGGAAGCTTTGATTGGTTGACGTTCCTAAGATGAAACTATTAACTAGTTCTTTGTCACATCATGATAAATCTCATCTTTCAAACTTCGAAACAAATAATCAGAACAAGATAAAATAGAAGATTTTCAAAAAGAGATAAAAAAGGAAGAAAATAAATTCAACAATATGCAACATTAATTACCTCTCCATACAAAGCTGAACCAATACCACCGATATGCTGATGTGCAACACCATAAATTATATCACCACCATGAGGAAGAACAATCTTAGTCTTCTTGACATCAATACATTCTCCCTTATCTTCCCCAACAGAATCACATGATGGTACAGTGTACTCCACCTAAATAATTTACTCAACTCGATCTTTATAAATTCCCAAATCCAACCACATAAAGCTAAAATCTGAACATTTTTAACACTAAACTTACATACCTCGCAATTAGAACAAGCATTTACAAAATCCAGACCAGTTGGACGATCTCGAGTGTCAGTAATATCAAGGATATAGATCTTAACTGGAAGAATTCTCGGACTCCACTCAATCCACTTCACAGTATACCTCAAATAGAGCTTCCTCTCACCGCCATCACCAAATCCTTCTTCTGCTCTGCACTGAGTTTCATCATAACAACAATGGAGACCTCCCACATATCCATTCGCCAACTTTTTTCCATACTCATCAGAAGTTACATTATAAAGGCTACATTTACATTCCGTGCATCCCACTCTATCCTCGACCTTCCTTGTATCAATGGCGTGAACATTCAAAAGCCATTTCTCCTCATATCCTTCAGGAACTTCATTAGGGTTTCCTATTTCTATACCGTATGGATCAGGCACCCAAGTCTTGGTCTTCCTTGTTTCAGCTCCAAGGCCGTAGTATTGTCCGATATTTCTACAAGGACCAGAGTTTCTTACAATTATAATCTTTGCTAAATCATCGTCTTTTACTGCTTTCTGGTCGTAGTATCTATGTAGAGCCCAGTGATGAAGGTAGGTTTCATGGAGGGGTATTGAGTTACCATTCTCGTCAACCACTTCCGCATTAAAGCTCTTTAGAGCTATGTGTCCTCTTGGGAATGGGATGTCAAAGTAGAATTTGTTTAGAGATAAGCCGTGCTTGAGGTCGATTGGAGGAGAGAGGAAGACAGAAGTTTTTACTGATTTGTTTTCTTCTTCAACCCCTAGAGATGCAATGTGACGGGAAAAAGATAAGAGAATGGATAAAGACAGTATCCATAACTGAGATCTACACATTCTGTTCCTGTAGATTTCAAAATAGGCTTCAAACTGGGAACTTCTGTTCGTATGCTTAACTCTCGTCTGAAATAGTTGAAAATAAGTCTGATTAGATTTAAATCAAATTCAAATCAGTTTTCAGAATTTAGCACATGAATTTATTAAAACAATTCAAAATTTACTAAATCCACCTACAGCCCCTTCGACTTCCTAATTAATCACAAACAGAAAGAAAAAAATATATATTTAAAAAGAGGCTTACTCACCTTGTTTACAGAGAAGAAGAAGAGGCTCACTCACCTTGTTTACAGAGAAGATTGCAGATTGAATTATGAAAACTGCAACTTTTTATTTCAGCTGGGGAAGGGGGGGGTGGTATAAATGTATAATATTTAGAATAAGCATAATACAACATTTATAGCATAATCCAACATCTCTTATCTTTGTAATGTTAAAAGGCTAATGATGATCAACTAAATATTAAAAGATAAAACTTATAATGTATCAACTTAGCAAAGAAAATATCTTTATAGCTCCTGTCATAATACAACATTTAGACTGACAAATGTATCATGCCACAGCCTACGGTTCTAAATATGCCATGTCGCAATAAGCATTTACTGTCTTATCCTCTAGAAGACAACAAACTATTTAATTATATCTAAAATATAAAATCTCTAAATTGTTAAAAGACATTTGTTGATTAAAAAATTCAATCATCTAGATCACGAGCCTTACTTATTTAATAGTCCATATCTATTACATAATGATAAATATGTTTGTTGATATCTCATGCTTTATCCTCATGGCTATTTTTGTAATTGTATAAGAACAAATGTCTCCATCTCATTCGTTATATCTTCACTTGAACATTTGGTTGTATCTTTAACATTTTTTTTTTAAAATTCAATCAAAATAGTGATTGACGGTGGAGATCGGGCACCCGTATGAAATAGTTTTTCCCTTAGAAGAGTCCACATGCCCAAATTTGATAAGAATGATTTATTACTTTCTTTAAAATGAGCATAATATTATAATTGATTTATAGTTTTTTATACTTTGAATTATTATAATATATCATTATCACATTATTTTCTAATTTATGTGGATTTAATTAATATTTTTATAAATTTAAGGACTAAAGTGCATTATACAAATAATCAAGGGAATTACTTTGATACCTTTCTCATATGTAAATACATAGGAATTAAGGGATATGTATGTAAATCTAAATCTTCCTAAAAAAAATTTCAACTAAAACTGAAATTAAACTTCGAAGCAGATCAGATGAAAATAATAAAAACTAATACTGATATTATGGGGAGAAAGGCATTGCTTCTGTTGGGGAATTTCATCGAACACTTCGTCAGCGCGATTTTTGTTTTACAGAAATGCCGGAGAGATTCTTTATCGGCAACTCGGTTCGAGGTTGCTCGACCTCCGAGCAATTATCTCTTCTCTGCGGGCCTCCGGCATGGTATTCTTGCAATCAAAACATCTTCTTATTTTCTCATTCTTTGTACGATTCTGTCATTGTAAACCTACGAGTCGCTCCATTTCTATCGATTGAATACAGTGGGAAAACTTCTCTTCTGTTCCAATTTGCTTTCAACTGTGCTGCGGAGAGTGGTGGGAAAGTGGTGTTCATTTGCAGCAAAAAACGATTAGAACACAAACCCCCTTTTCTACCTCAGGAGATTTCCCAGCTTTGATGCTTTTTCTTTTCTTTTAAGTTTGATTTTGCTGCATCTCTCTTCCTTGTGTTCTATATTTTGAACCGGATTTGTCATTATGTTTCTCAGGATATTGATCCGGCTTCAGACATTCTTGGAAGGATACAAATGAAGTAAGAAACTTACACTTTCTGTTATAAAATAGGGTTCATGCATGAAATTTTGTATGGGTAAACAAGAATCATAGGAACGGTTTCTTCACATTGAGGAGGAACATGCGGATGTATAATTCATATACTTAAAAAGGACTTGCCTGCTGAAATTAATCTTCACGTCTGAATTTATCCTCTGAAACAATTCCGTTGTGTAAGGTTGTTTGCTTCTTACCTATATTGCTTATGCATGCTAACTTGTGAAAAATCAGGCACTTGTATATATCGCTAAGAACCATTTGCATCTTACCGAAATTGTATGTCACTTGTTCAATTGAACTTGCTTTTGGTGCAAATGGTTCTTGCAACTACTTTTTGTTTTTCTTCTTTCATTGCATTCGTGCCATTTGAAATGTGGCATGTACTGATTGCATATTTACAGTTGTTAGGTGATAATTTTGTAATTCATATGTATACATGTCAACAACAACAACAACAACAACAATAAGTCTTTATCCTATTAAGTGGGGTCAGCTACATGAATTTTTTTTCTCCATTGCATTCTATTGAGTGTCATATTTTCTTTTAATTCTAATAGATTAAGATCATTTTTTATATAATATGCCGAAGTCTTTTTAGGTCCACCTCTGTCTTTCTTAACATAAGTCGAATCGAAAACATCTACTCTTCTAACGTAATCACCAGATGGTCGACATTTAATTTGACCAAACCATCTAAGACAACTCTCTCTAATCTTGTCCGCCACTACAACTACGCCAACCTTATCACGGATATATTCATTTCACATTTTGTCTCTAAGTGTTAGGCCACTCATCTAACTAAGCATTCTCATCCCTTCAACACCGAACTTAATTTTATGCTTTTCTTCTAAAGACTAACATTTTGCGCCATTAAACATTGTAGGTCTCACAACCATCCTATAAAATTTTCCTTTAAGTCTAAATGGTACTTTTCTATCACACAATAGACTCGATGCATTGTTCTACTTCAACCATCCAACTTGAATTATATTAATAACATCTTCATTTATATCACCATCACTTGGAACAATAAACCTGAGATATCTAAAGCGTTCTCACCTTTTAATGATTTGATCACCCTTTATTACAAATCTGCCACTAGATCTACTACCACTAAAACTACATCTCGTGTATTCAGTTCTAATAATAGGGCATGAAAATTAAACTTTGGTGCTTTGGGATGTAAAACTTAGGCGGTATTTGGCAGCATATTATCTATATCCTACGCTCCATTAAATATAATTTTCTAGCATTCTGTCAGATTCTTCTTGTATTTCGTCACGGTTGAGATGTAAATTCGGAATTAGTAAATTTGATTGTGAGTCAGATTTGTTCCACTGTCGCTCGTGATCTCTTTCTGTCTCCGACTTGATTTTATAAATACGAAAATCCTATTTAACGTAGATCTAGCGTGCATCCAAACACCACCTTAGAGCAGATTTCTCAGTAGCTATTTCTATAAGGATAGTGATGTGAAACTATAACTAGCTCTGTGTTTTGAGGATTAGATGGAAGCAACAAATTCACCCCAATGTTCTTTGTCCTTTATTGGTAGAAAGAAAAAGCATGTAACGGTAGTTTGGTTAAAGTTTTGATAAAGATTTGGAAAACTAAAGAAAATATATGCAACACAGAATAAAAATGAATGAAAAAAATAATTCATAAACCCCCAAATTGTTGCGAAGTGGCTATTGATGATGAATATGATGTCTTCTTTTAATGAAAGCCAGATAACAAAATTAAATTTCTTCTGCATAAGAATATTCCGTTGTGAAAATGTTTGAGAGATTGATTTAGCTTCTTCTAAACAGGTATGTTGAAGATGATGTTGAAATTAAGAAATATTTTGCAGCATTTCATCTGCATGAAAGGTTCCCAGTAGCAGTCATCATTGATGATTTTGGCGATTTCTTCATCAAGGGGTAAGTGAATTCATTGCTTTTGGGAAATTTTAAAATTTTTCCTTGTAAATGTTCAAAGGGCTAAGGCGAGTTATGCAAATATTAAAATCTCTCCCTCTAATTGTTTGAAAACAAAATATTTTTCTTAATATGTAGACTTCTTGAAATACAAATTTCTTATATTGTTATGGTCAAAATGAATAAACCAATGTGAGCTAGGGTCAATTTTTGCTTGGCCAAGTATAAGAATCACTGTTTTTTAGTTCAACCAAGCAAACTATCACCGTGCCTCGACTGCTGCCTTCCACATTATATGCTTGTTGCCATCTCATCTATTGTGGACGGAACCAATGATTATAATCATGAAGAATTTGATACCATGATTTTTTATTTGGTAATCTTTTGGCGGTATTTAACATTTCTAAAATTGTATTTTTTTTATTGTTTTTCTTTGGTATTTTCTTACTCTCATTTTTTTTCTTCAGCAATTGTTATTTATTTGTGTAACTTTTCATTTCATTAATAAATTGATGGTGATGGCCCCCTGAATTTAAAAATTAAATATATAACCTTTTACTTCATCAATAATATATGCTGAGCGTAAAATAAAATGAAATAAAAGAGATAGGCCCAGCTTGGATTGACATCAGAGTGATCTAGTTCCAATCAAATTGAACTACCTCAAAATCGAATGACAATATTTGTTCATATATATGAATTATTCTATTTATAAGCAGGTGTTTATTTGCATGTACGTATGCGTTAATGTAACCATGCTTGCAATAACACTAAAAATGAGAGCCATTACTTATATCCTATGGCTAATATATAATTTGTGCCTCTCACTTCCTCGCTATTCCCTTCTATCCACTGGTTTAAACTCTACCATTACCTTAAAACAAGTCCTGCTATTGTAGTGGCTTATTTCTGCGCTGGCTAGTTATTTTTTTTCCTTTATTGTTGGTTTTGTGGCACTCGTTTTTAAAAATAGCTTTATCTATGTTTATCTATGTAATTAAAAATAGCTTTATCTATGTTTCCCTTAGTTCTTTACCTTTCCTATGTAAGCTTTACTGTTTGACTGTTTATCATGGTATCAACGCCCCTTCCCAACAGTAATTTATTTGTCCTCTCCCATCCACACCTCTACTATAACACTGCCTGACCTCCTCATCGGTTTATAATCATCAATCCTAGAGACACCTCACAAACCAACACATCTGGTGAAGAGGTGGCCTCTTCCACTCAAGTGAAACAGCTTCACTACCTCACATTCGAAGTTCTTGATGTTTAACATTAAGAATAGTCTAAATGTTCAAGGCCAACAACTTCGTAAGATATCTCTTCAGAACGGTTAATTGCACTCCTAGTCATTTAGCCTGAGCTAATGGCTCGCTTCTTGTGAATACCAAGTAAAATAATTGGATGCTCAGTGATCAAAACCTTGTTGCGGCCTTATATTCAGTTTTCTCACCGCTGCTCCTTCCTTACTTGCTTAGTCTCAACACCTGTCATGAAATATGGATAACCATTGAGAAAAGACTTCAATGTACTATTCATTCTAGGCTCTTCCAATTGAAGAACGAATTACACAACGTTAATATGAAAGACCAAGCTATGCTTTAGTATTGCCCCGCCCCTAAATCCAAAGTTGATCCCATCGCTGCAATCAACATTCCTCTAATCCTCATGGATATTGTCCTCCACTCGGTAAATGTCTTACCTCCTTCCTATCAGCATTAAAGATAGCAATCCATACTAATAGCAGCCTCACTATCTTGCAAATTGCAATCAAGGCTCTCATGACCTCCAATCCCTTCAGCTCAATAAGGTTCCCACCACCCTCACTACTATCATGGGCAGGGATCCCCCCAAATCATTTCATCCCTCCCACAACAGAGGTCAGTTTCACCTCAATTAATCTTGATCTTGATGTCCGTTCTTAATTTGCAACTCAGGAGGCAAGGAGGCCAGACCACCACAAAGCACCCTGTCTGGTAGATTTGCTGTGATTCAGGGTTTTGTGCGGCCAAATTTTGGTACCAACAGGTTCTATTCTACACTGATCATCCACTTACGTTCTTTGCTCTCTTTACTGGTTCAAAAAGCTCTGTTGGTGATTGGTAGCTTGATACTGTCGCTTCATTGTGTCCGACATGAACTTCAACTCTTTAACGAACTTCGCATTCCTAGACCTTTTATCAAGCTTTGCAACAATTCATACTTGCAAACAACCAAAGCTCAACCTTGTCCAGGAATCCTACCCACTACGACCAGTATGCTTCACTCATCTAATATTTTTCATATACCTAACATATCTTGCATACTGCAACCCTTGTTTTATTTTGCTTGATGTTGTTGGCTGCACCATCTCTAACTTTTACAACAATCATAGTTTTCTTAAAGGCTCTTGCCACAAAAATCTTTATTACATCAGCTCTTCCCATTGCCGCGAGCCACTCTCCAGCAATTTTGCCGTACTCTTCGCCCACTCTATCAAGTATCTCTGGCACGGAGGTCAGTCATCCATCTTCCTCCATTTTATCCATTTCTAGCAAAATAATATTCTGAAACTTGTACTCATTTTACAAGACACTCGTGTACTTCTCGTCTTTTATGAAAGAGCAATAAAATTTCTTTTGTAGCATCTCTTACTTGTAGCTCTCACCCTCTTGTACTCATGTACTCAGATGTGTGGGATCCCTCCTTTTATGGTATCTCGACAAGGTTACAAAATACTACATCTTGTTTGTTTATGTCTTGCACTTTTTCTGGGTCTATCCTATGCTAAAAAAATTTGATACATTCACCAACTTTATTCATTTCTAAAACTTCAAGGCAAAATAATCAACATCCCATTAAATCCCTTCACACTGATGGCGACAGGGAATATCTCAACCTTAACTATAAGCTCATCTTCTCTTCAGGAGGAATTCGTTATCAATACACATCATTTCAGTCTTGAACTAAATGGAGTTACAACGCATAAACATCGATACATTATTAACATCAAATGTACACTTCTTCTTCATACCCATTTACCTCGCCCATTTTGGGTAGCTGCGCTTTTGCTCCTTGTTTATCTCATTTTATGAATTTTACAGAAATCTTCCTTGCTACTTGAATCTAATAGTATCCGAGTACCTGCGCTTCCTCTTACTTTTAACCATATCCCACAAACAAACCATCCTTATATTCCTATGCAATATCTCAAAAAGGGTACTGCTATTTTGAGCCTCTCCCAGGGAAAACATGTCTCTCACCATGATGTCCTCAACATGAAAAACTTTTCATTATGTTCTTTCCAAATCATTCTTCAACCTTTCCAAGAGCAATCAAATCCACCACCATTAACCTAAGCGCCGCTTCTATCATTTCAATCCCACCACAACCAAATATTGCATTTGTTGCTGCCAATTTGATCCTCATCCCCACAATCCCCAACTTTGCCTTGTCTCCCCAACCAAGTCACTTCTCCTCGTTGTTCTTCCCACCCCATCCCCCTAGCTTAATCCCCGATCAATCATTCATCCTGAAACCCGGTTATCATAGCCATCTCCCCAACTCACCAACTTCGCCATTGCCGATCACATGGAAAAATGATTGAAAACGTAGCGTGCTCGTTCAAAACAAATTTTAGTATGAATGATTCTACAACTGCTAGTGATCAAACCTTCTACATTGTGATTGTAAAGTTCCCAATGACGATACTTTCTCCACCATCTCCTGATAAGAACTTGGTTGGTTGCAAATAGAGCTATGAGAGTAAACATAACTTAGGTACAAAACCTAGTTAATAAGGCTACAAGCAGAAATACGGACTGAACTAAATGGTAACCTTCAGTCTTGTAGCCAATATACCAATAATTCACTTACTTCTTACAGCTGCTCTCACTTATGATTGGCCTATTAGGCCATTACACAACTTGATGTATCAAAGACTTTCCTCCACGATTGCCTTGATGACCTAAACAAAGGGTTCCAAGGACCACACCCAACCTGACCATGTTTTTCCTCTCTAGAAAGCCACCTACGGCTTAAAACAAGCAACTCAACGATCTCCAATAACTTGACTTTGCCTTCAGCGCAGCCGTTCCATTGCTTCTAATCCACAAAAAAGCAGGGTACTTTTATTTACTAATTTTCCATCTGGATCCTTATTTTTCACAGACAATGATCACGCTACTATCTTTACAGCATACAACAACTTCACCACACCTTCCATATAATACAGAATCTGCACCTCTCACACCCTACCCATTCACTTTTAACTGCTGGTTCAATCGCTTTCATCACGTTAAAACAAATCCTGCTACTGTAGCAGCTATATCTGTAACAGCTAGTTATCTTTTTCCTTTATCTAGACGCTTCATCAGTTCTCTTTATTATAATGTAATTAGAAATAGCAGTCAGTTATGTTCACTCAGTTTTTTACCTTGCCTGTATAAGCTTTATTTTTCTTGCAATGTTTATCAGTTTGTATGATGCATGACTACATGGATCACAATTTGACTTTGGAATTGGATAGGATTCGGCTGGATTGAGCTAGAATTGATATCAAGAAGTTAAGCATTGTCGGATCATGCCTTCAATCAGCTAAACAAGACTTATTCTATGGAGCTTTGATTCTAACTGGAGTTAGGATCAAATTGACTTAAGATTGAATCATTAGCCGTCATATCTTTTACAGCCTATATTCTTACTTAAATAAATTTTGTAACTTATGATCCCGCAAAAAAAAAAAAAAAAACAGTGCTTGGATTGCTTATGCTTGTGATGCATTATGACACAAAATTGTGTTTTAGAATGTTCATATTTGTGTACAAATTATGATACTAATTTTTTGACTTAAAATTTAGCTACTATTAAAGGACATATGGTTAATTTACTTACAGAAAATATCAGGATAAATATGGCCCAAGAGATAGAGAAGCTGCTCTGGCTCATGCATTGGCTTTATGTCAAAATGCCATTTCACATGCAAAGTAAGCTTTTAAGTTGGCATATTATTTTTCTTATGATTTAGAAATATGAAAAATGGTAAAACCCATATGCAGACATTCTCCCAAACTACATATTTGCTCTTTTTTTGGTGAGAGATTTTTGCGGTTATATAATGTTGGGTAATTCGTTTCCACTGTATCATTCTCTGACTCTCTTCAATTAAACACTCTGAGAAATATTGAGAGTTGGCCTCAACTTGAATTGGCTTATCTCAAGCAATTTGGATTGTCAACTCATTAAGAATCGAGACTGCACTGTATGAAGTAACGATATCTGGTGTTTTGGTTTTGTTAAGAAAACAGAATACAGCGGCAGAGAAAGTGCAAATACAGAAATCAACATTTTAGACTAATGAAGTCTCTCCTGCGCTATTCATTTACATAGCCTTAAAGTCATATCTTTTGACAAACATCCTCTTTGGATGATATCAGGTTGGGTCGAGACCATCTTCTCACTAAATAGATCAGGGTTCATGACAATCCGGGATGATGAAATCGTAAAATCTTCATAGAATTCGTCATCATTAATCTTAAGTCATCAGTGATAAATTTCATCATTCTATAGCCTAAATTGCTATTATTTTACACTAAGTACTTAACATCTAATAATACCTTATTCTCTCTCGTTATCTGAAGTGTTGATTAGCCATAGGGGCTTGTGAAGATGGGATATTGGGAGCCAGATCCAGATTACTTTGCGGCGAAAGAAAAAGGATTATTGGATCAATGATTATCATGATGAATAAAACACAATGTTGTGCCTATGGGATGTAATCCATCCCCATATTATGGACTTTGGGATGGAAAAAAAAAAGGAAAAAAGACCACAGGGCACCTATATGTAGCTGTTAAGGCTATTTAAATTCTTTCAGACCCAGGTTTTTCTATTTTAGTGCTTAAAAAAGACTTCGAGTAGAAGTTGAATTATCTGATCTTGTTTGCAATTTTTTCTGCATAGTTCAAAGTTGCAGCCTTGTGGCTCCTGCAAGCTTCTACTTTCAGATACGCAAAGGCGGGACAACGCGAGCTTGTTGTTTATATATAAGATATGGATGCAATCCATATTCATCATTGAAGGTATGCCGGTGCTTCGCTTTTTTTTTTTCAATCTTTATGTTGTCAAGCACGTGTTTCTCCTGAAGTTCCACGTCAACTGTACGCTGCATTCTCTTCTGTGCTATGGTAGTGCTGCAAATTTCTGATTTTCTTTTCTTAAATTTCTTTCAGTTTTTCATCCCTTATTCTTGGCACAATCAAAATTAGAAATTTCTTGTCTGTGTCAAGGGGAAGTTATCTAAATATTCGAACAACTATTTGCTTTCCAGCACTAAAATCTCAATTTTTTCATTTTTCTTCTTTGCACTTGATGATCACATGTGCATGTCAAAAATAAATAAATAAAAAATAAAAAAAAAAAAATAAAAATAAAAAAATAAATAAATAAATAAATATATATATATATATATGTATATATATATATATAT